GGTTTACGAGCTAAACTTATTATAAAAAGCGACTTGCTGCTTTATGACGGCCGCTTATTAGTTCTCGACGTTTAAAACTTACGCTCGTTATTCGTTCGAAAAGTCTACGACTAAGTATTTACGGCATACTTTAGCTTTCGCAAAACTTATAAGCTCTTTATAATACAATACTATTAGCACGATATAACTAGATTCGTTAATTAATATTATCGCAATTGCTACGCTTATAAACGAGCTTTAATGCTTCGCGATAAAAAACTTAGTTTGCTTTAATCTTTTCCGATCCTTTCGCGCTTTTAAGAGCACGTTACTATAGATTTTTATAACTTTAATAAAGACAAGCACGGCTACGACAACGTTTTTATAATAATCGACCGCTTTTTTAAGCAAGCAATCTCGATCTTTTATTATAAGTCTATCGACGCTAAAAGCCTCGCTAAGCTTTATATCTATTACATTTATAAGTATTTTAAAGCTCTTTTGATATTGACTTTTAATAAAAGACTTTAATACTAGTCCGAATTTTAAAAAGAATTTAATAAGATCCTCGGCACTAAATTGACTTTTAGCACCGCCGCACACCTCGAGATTAACGGTTAAACCGAAATCTATAACTAATACTTGCAAAAGCGCTTTTGTCTTTTCGTAAGCTATTATTAAGACGATTAGAGTGAGTTCTTTTTTATAATAGACTTCGCTTAATTGACGCTCTTTTACGACTCTTTCGGCGGTCTTTCCTTTTTTAAGGTAATCTACGGCTACGCCTTTCGAATCACTTAGAATTAAAGCTTAAAACGACTTGACGACCAAACCCTTTCTCGTAAGCTTAATTAAAACGAAGCTCGCGCTTACGCTAACCGCCACCTCGGAGCTTAGAACCTCGTTAAAGAGCACTTTTAACGCGCTTAAAACCGCATAGCTAAACAAGCTAATAAATCAAGACGCTCGATTAACTTCGACGTTAATAATAAAGTTTAGTTAGATATGCGCTCGTTTTTTATTTTTCGACCGTTAAAGAAGCTCGATAACTCGACGAACGGACCGTTCGAAGTTACCGACAACGTCTATAGCAGCTTTAAACTTAAGCTCTTCGAGTTAATAAAGGTTCACTTAGTCTTTTACTTCAGACGACTACGAAAAGCTCTTAATAACTTTACTCTCGAGCAAATCATTCTTAAACTTAATTTGATTAATATTATTAACGAACTTAAGTACGAAATAGAAAACATTTTAGCGGTACGCTAAATTAAAAAGCACTTTGAATACCGCGCTTTTTAGCTCGGCCGCGATATTGATTTTACTTAGTACTCCGCTTCCGACTTTATGTACGCTCTTTTTAAAATACGTGACTTTTACTTAAAACACAAAGAGCTCTTCGGCCTTCTCGCGAAGCTCTTCGAATGGATCAAAGCTTATTCGGACGGTATTGATAATTACGATTACTTGAATAGTGATAAAGCAATAAATAAACGCTCGAAGACGAGCTTTTTTCGGACGGGAAGGTAATGTGACGACACGCTAAGTCTTTTGGATTTACCTTATATGCGCTAAGCTACTTCTTTCTTTTTTTCTTTCGTATTTTCTTATTTTTCGCTTTTTAACTTATAAACCATGGTTCACGAGTCCTTGGCGCTTTTACTTTCGTGTATATAGACCTTAGCTACCTTCGACCTTTACACTCGGTAGTTGTTGATTCTAAGTCATTACTTTGAGATTCTCCTGAGCTCTTATATGAACCCCCGCGCTCCCGTGAGTTCCTTCAGGTAATCGCTTAAGGTCGTCACAATTAATAATACGTTTAATTCTATAACGCAAGATCCGTAATAAGCAAAAAAGTAATTGCCGAGATTAAATATATCGAAATAAAAACGAAATCGAATAATAACCGAGTTTCCGTGCAAGCATATAGCTTGCTTTTAATATAATACGATATCGAAACGGTTCCGAATCGCAAACACTTATTTCCGCTCGTCGTATCTTTTATTTGCCGAAGCGAAAGATGATCGAAAGCAATTCGAGGTTTTTATACGTAATCTCCGTTGCGAAATAAGTATTGAATTTTCAACTTCTTAAGCTTAGCGTAGTATTTCCGATACTTAATTATTACTTACTTTTTTAAAGAAAAAAGAATAATAGACTCGTACTAAAATCGATATTAAATCGAAAGAGTAAAGTATACTAAACGAATAGTACCTCGAGCGTATCGCCGTGCAAAGTGGTTTAAATGAATAGTACTTTATAAATACCGAATTGAACTTTAGCTAGCTCGATCTTCGAATTAAAATAACGATTTTTTAAATAGTACTTATCGAGTATATCGAATAGCATGCTCGACAAACACAAATCGAAAAAAGATCGCTTTTAAAGCAATAGCTTCGAAGCTTATATGCAAAAGCACTTGACTGTTAGCTTAGCGTATATCGAATACTTTTCGAAAGAGTATCGCAAAAGCACATAATCAATAGCTTAGCGTATAACGTAAACTCTGAATATATAGCTTCTCGCAAAAGAAGCAAGTCTAAAAAAAGTATAAAGACCAACCTTTAATTCGATTCTTTGCGTAAGTCATTAAATATATATAAAAAAAAAGAGCTCCGATATATACTTAACGTTAAATCAAGAGATATATATAAATATAGCTATAATAAAATCGTAAGTAAATAAAAGAAGAGAAAGAAGACGATCGAAAGACATTCGAATATGTGCTATAAGTACGTGTATTATATTGTGTAATGATAAGGTGGTGCTAGTTCAAAGAAGAACCAACTACTCGTTTATATAAGAGCTTGCACGTGACTTAACTACGTGCTTAGCAGGGCCAAAGCATGCAGCGCACCCACGTGACAAAAGTGCTTAGCATCAGTACTATATATATAGACAAAACAAATACAGAGCCCTAACTCCACCACAGTATATAGACAGTTCCTTCCACGCTTGTATAATAGAAAGAGAGAGAGAGATGTTAATGTTGGATACTAGCACTCCCTCTATTTAATATATTCTCAGGTACAGTATAGTTAGTATGTATAGCTTGATGTTGGTGTCGGTTTGCTAACGTGAATGATCATCTAGGGAGGGGCTTATAGACAAGATAGGATATGATGTAGCTACTGGACATATGTTTGCCGTCTTCGGTTATATATGTATATATGCGTATTAGCTGGCTGGCTGGCTGGCTATGGTTTTTGGATTGTATGTGTTATGTTATACGTTCAGCTCGGATACCGCTGGGGCTTTACGAATGCTTTACAACTACGGACACAACTGGGTTGCGTTGCTTCGTTTTAGAGATGTGTTTGTGTGTGTGTGTGTACGCTCAGTATTATTACGCTGTAGAGAGTTGGATGATGTTCTGGTTGCTGGACTTGAAGCAAGTATGCAGCTTGCTAGGTAGTCTGGTGGAATAGAAGCAAGAAAAGGTGTTCATGATACAGATAGTCTCGCTATTGACGCTTGCTCCATGTGGAAATACAACGTGGGCTCTCTCCACAAGGGTTTTCAGGTGGAAATGCAAACGGCAGGGTTGTTCCTCGTTGCAGAAGGCATCCATGCATGCACGGTGGTGCGTGAACGACGGTGCGGCCCGCTGTACGTGTTGTTGACATCTGGGCCAAGATCCAGAGGAGTTGAGAAAATCATAAAATGATAAAGGCACTACGTAAGGTATGAGTTCTTCGGGCTTGCAGATGATGCTTTGCAGGATTAACCGTTCTAGAAACAGTTTGGTAATGGCCAAAGTTAGGAATAGCCCAGATACCGGTACCCCTACGGTAGCTCTCTCTCTGACTTCTCCAGAGAGATCCATGCCCTTGGGGTGCCATCGTCGGAGAAGGTGTCCTTACTTACGGAGTACTTGATTGATCCGCGACATCATTTTCTTTTCCCCTCCTTAGCAGCCGAGGACGGCAAGTAAATAAACAACAATATGTACCTAGCCCAATATACCGTACTCCTGTCAGACGTCTTCCGCCCGGAGCCTATCGCCTTCACCCGACGGAGCCATATCGCTATAGCAACGACGCGCAAAGCGCAACGGTTTTCTGACGCGCCTTGAACCAATAGCGGAAGGATGGAAAACCAAAGACGGCGCGGCCGACCTGCAACTCAATGCCGGGGGGGCGCCGATGCAACCGCTGGCTCTGCAGTTAAGCCCCCTTTTTTCATTCGTAGTTTACGGTAGGGATATGAATTCAAAGCTGTTACCAATTCACAATTGGACCGCCCGAACGCTGGCGGCCGCACAAGCGTCCCGCGAGGGAGGATTGGCGAACGGATTGTTCCCTTGTTGATTTCCCTTTGTTTTGATCGCGCTGACCCGTGAGCGTGGGTGGACACTCGCCCGCCCTCCTGAACGCCAAATGCAATTTTTAATTTAAAAAAGAAAGGTGATATCCTGGATTCTGTACAACGCATCTGCCGGATATAGTCTGGAGATTGGTTTATTGTTCATTGTATCGGCTTGCAGCTAGCTCAGCTGCAAGAAGATTAGGACTTGAGGCCCGACGGTACGCTAGCTAACGTAACGGCAGCCGAGCGCCTTTTTTTGGGGGGGGAGTTGGACCACCACCTCTTGCAACACCCGCTCCTCAACCTCGAACACGATCACCACCAACCATCCGAGATTGACTCAACTCGACTCGGAAACGGTGCCACCGTTTCTGATACACACCTCCTGTTACGTTCACGTTGGGGGGTCTACAGTCGAGCCTCTGTCTGCGAGCGTGTCGATTTGAGCCTTGTGCTGCATTTTGCTTTGCGGAGGTATATTCACATCATGCTACCCACAACGACGACAATGAACCCGCCACTGACTTTGATAGCCAGTTCTTACGATTTTATGAAATAATAGAGAGATACCCCTGCCTTTCGAGACGATCCGAGACCGATTTTCCCTTATTGCCGCCGATTTCGTGTGAATACTTTCAGCCCCCGTTTGCTGGTGTACATAAACAACCTCAACCTCGACCTCGACCCCGACCTGGTAGAATCGCACCGCGACCATGGATGGCCCGCCTCCTCCTCCTCCCCCTCCGCATGGAGCAAATCCAAAAACTACACGAATGCCAGATGGCAAATACGACATCTTCATCCTGCCACCGCACTCTGCCGGGGGAGGTTTCCTATACTTGCCGTCACTGAAGCCCAATGTCAACAGTTTTGCTGCCGGCTTTGCATCAGCTCTCTTGCTAGTTCTGATCGGGTCAGCTCTATACCCAGTTGTGCAGGCGTGGTGGAACAGCGTGAAGGGTGCTGGTGGAGCTGGAATGATGATGCTGGTGATGGCAGTAGGTGTAGGAGCCTGGGCACTGGGGCGGATACAGGCAGATGGAGGACCTGGGCCCGGTGGAGGCGGAAGTACAGGCGGCTCGAATCCAAATAGTGGTCCGTACCCCAATGGCCATTCGAGCTCCCACTCGAACGGCTACGCTGGTGGTCCACACTCCGGAACGGGACCCATGCCTGGTGCGGGAGGTGCAGGTGCAGGTGCAGGACCGATGCCCGGATCTGGCCCCACGCCTGGAGCTGGTCCAATGCCTGGAGGAGGACCAAAACCAAATTCATGGCAACGGCCCTCGCCCGGAGCAACTGGTGCAAGTACAGCTGGAGGTCCAGGCGCCAATTCCCATACAAATGGACAGGCTGGAGCAAGTGGGGCGGCAAGGAGTGCTTGGGAGAAGGCCCGTGAGGAGACCAAAAAGAAAGAAGAAGAGCGGAAAGCAAGGGAGGCCGAGAAGAAACGAAAGGACGAGCTTGAGAAGAGGCTCCGTGAAGCTCGGGAGAAGGAAGCCAGGGAACGAGAAGCTCGTGAGGCCAAGAGGAGAGAGGAAGAAGCTCGAGTCGCCAAGCAAAGAGCAGAGGAAGCTAAGGCGAAAGCTGATGAGGCCAAGCGAAGAGAAGAGGAAGCAAGACGAAAAGCCGAGGAGGAAGCTCGAGAGGCCAAGAGAAAATCAGACGAAGAGGCTCGACTGGCTAAGATAAAGGCAGATGAAGAGGCTCGACTGGCCAAGATAAAGGCAGAGGAGGCCGAATTTCGAGAGAGGAAACGAATGGAGGAACAGGCTCTTGAAAAGAAGCGGAAAGACCTCGAAATCCTGGAAAAGAGACTAAAGGAGGCGAGGGAAAGAGACGCTCGAGAGCGGCTAGCTCGCGAGAAGGCAGCCCAGGATAAAAAGAAGGCAGAAGAAGAGGCTAGTAAACCCAGAGGAAGCACTTACGCCTTCTCTGCCGTGGGTGAGAAGACAAACCCCTGGCCGAATGGGCGGCCCGCCACACCTCCTCCTGCTCGTCCTGACCCACCATCCCCTACTAAAAAGCCTCCTCCTGCACCAACGACAAAGACCTCTAACAGAACCGAAGATGATGCCCGCTCCTACCGATCGTACGGCACTCCGAAGAAGCCGATGCAGCACACAAAATCACCCTCCTCTGTATACTCCGAATCTTCCTACGCAGCATCATATTCGACGTCGCGGACCACACCCCCTCCATCACATCGAGGGCAGTACAGCACCAAGGACCCCGATAAGATTGTGATAAAGGCTGTATACGCATTCAACAATGCCTTCCTCAAAACACCAACTTCACAACTCATCTCCGGAGTAGGACCAGTGACGGACGGGCTAATCCTCCGAATCACAACCGAAGGTCTCTTCATCGACGACGACGTCCGAGGCGTCCCCCAACGAGAATGGGACGTCAAGGCTTGGACAATGAAACTCGTAGAGGTATGGTGTCCCTCCTTCAGCCAGGACCCCGCTGGCCCTTCTGCGCGCGTTGCTGCCTCACCCAAACATAATCACATGCGTCGACTCTGGGGCCTGGATAAGGAGAAACCTGCCACGGCCGAGGAGACGGATGCCCTGCTTGTTGAGATGTTATCGCTTTGCAAGAATAACTGTCGTTTGCGTGCCACGTCATCTGCGTCGTCTGCGTCTTCTGCTTATAGTTCCAGCTCGTACGATCGTCGCTCGTCTGCGTACTCTGATTCAGCTTATGGTTCTTCCGTTGGCTCTTCGTCGCCTTCTCGGGCTAACAGTCGTGGTACCAATCAGACAGGAGATTTGAAGACGGCCGGGCTGCATGTCTTGCGGGCGAGCATTCGGGACCAGGAGGGCAAGAAGTACGTCTTCGTTATCAGCGAGGAGGAGAGCTGGAAGGTCGCCACCGGGCTGCAGAGGTTGAAGCGGGGGACTCAGGTCAGGGCTCTGGGTGTCAGTGGCATGAGTCTCGGGGATGCACGGTCGACTCTGGAGAATCTCGGATGGGGCAATTGAACGCAACGACGACGATGGCACACGAGAACATGGGGATGAGGGATGGAGGGTTGAGCAGCCACTCAGTCATGTACTGGATAATGTGGAACTGGAATGTACCGAGTGGGGAAGGGAGAAGTGTGGATATGTTGTTTACTGGAATGCGCACATGCGTCCCAAGGCAAGGGAGAGAGAGGTCTTTCTTTTTTTAAGCGAGCGAAAAGCTGAGCGGCATTTTACATCATGGCGACGGGGTTTCTTCCTCTACCTTTTTTTTTTTTTCTTTCTTCGTTTCCGTGAGGATTGCAATGCAAGTGACGGACATATGGAGAGGTCTTGAGTCGACGAGAGGGAAACGAGTAGGGCGTATGGTGACATGTTTATCGTGCTTTCTCGGAGCCCATGGCAGCGTGGATGCCGTTGAACGAAGAAGGCGTAGAGTTTTTGCCAAGTGGGTCTGGATCGACCGGTACTGGTCGGTTGGTGGCCACGGAACGTTTTTCTGATGACAACGGCTACGGGTCTCACCTACACGTGACACCCGCCGGCCTGACGGAAAACCGAGCCCAAGCATACCGGTCCATCCATCCCTCTGCGACACGATGCGATGCGCTGGCTGTCCTTCACTTCATCTCAGCGTCCAGCCGCCCGGGTTCTGGTCACATCCGGAAGGGCGGCCCGGCTCTTCCTCTCTCCTCTCTCCTCTCTGACGCACTGGGGATCTGGGAAGCAAGGAAGCCATTGATTGTGGTAGAGAGAGCTGGTTGGAGAGGAGGAGGAGAGGCTCATGCAGGTACAACTCCCGTACGTCGGCAGTGGGCGGACAGCTTCGCCAGAGGTTCGTTGGTTTTCGTTGCCGTGGAGGTGGAGGTGGAGGTCAAGCAAGCCAAGCCGGGTTGCCATGGCAAAAGCATGACTGCACTGCAGTACAGAGTAAATACTACCTACTACTGTACTACCTACCGTACGGTAAGTAAGAAGAAGGGATCCGCTCGTTTCCCCAAGTTCGCATACAGTAAGTAAGGTACAGTAGAAATTGCCCAAATCGTCTCTACTGTATCCGTGCACCCCACACTTTTCCGAGCTTGCCCCACTCAGGACATCGTACATACCTTACGGTTAGTAGTACTACGGTACGTACTACCGGTACCGTACGTACATGTGACTTGTTTGCACATGACCCTGGAAGATCGACACGGTACGTACAATCGTCGGGTAGCACGCAGGCAGGACCTGGTACGGGACTTGGTTGCCGTGAAGGCAACGCGGTAACCCGTACCCAAAAGTGCACTTTGGGATGATTGATCATGATGAAAGATTTCCAGACCGAGGACGAGGGTGACGACGACAGCGACGACGACGACGACGACGACGACGACGACGATGACGATGATAATGACGACGATGATGATAATGATAAGCACGCTCTTTATGACCTAATCACTCTGATATCGATGATTTCTGTTAATGATCCATCGGACTATGATGTGATTTTGTCTTTGGCGCCAGAAGGATGATGGAAGGATGGAAGGATGGTGCCAAGAAAGTCAAAGGCACTGATTGGCGGGCAGAATTAAGCGGGGTGACAAACTTCAGGGCGTGCACCTCCGTTCGTGAGTCAGCTGACGAAGATTGGGGAAGATGGGAAGAGGCGAAGATGCGAAGATGCGAAGAAAAAGATGGGGAAGATGAGAAGATGGAAAGACGGGAAGATGGAAAGATGGAAAGATGGAAAGCAAAACATGGGGAGAGTTATGCCGTACGACGGACTGACTGGCTGACCGTGACCGACTTCGATAAAGGGGACAGATAGATTGATAGACGGATTACATTTTCTTCTTTTTTACTGTTTCTTCGTCAGTCTTGGCAGCGGCGACCAGCCTGTCGATCGGTCGAATCATTCGGTCGGCGATACAGCGACCAGTTGAATCAGTAGGTAGTGAGTGCCCAAGACCCGTCTGGCCTCCTCTCTCTCGCTTGCTCGCTCTCGCTCTCGCTCTCTCTCTCTC